TCTTGTTCGTTCTTCGTAGAATTCATATGATTCTCACTCGCGGAAAGACGATTAATTATAATTGCGCGCACATTAATCATCAGAATACGACACTCCCGATAACTTTATTATATTATGAAAACAACAAAGAGGGGCGAAGCTATGAATACAAAGCTGCGAAAATCGTTTCGGCCGAATTCACGCATCATTCAAATATTGATATTGCTACTAATATATGATGTATAGCTCGCATTTGGAGACATTTTACTATTTCGTATTATGATATATGCAAATAAATATACGAGTTAGAATTAGAGATAATTATTCACAGAATATAACATCCGTCGTCACTTTGCCGATAGATTTCAATGAAATAAATCCACGTTTCAACAAATATACACCGATGTACAAATTTTAGCCGGATTTGTGCTACGCAATTAACGAAATACGAAGCTAATCACTATATTTATTAATAAATGCGTCGCGATGCCCGCCCGACTCAAAGTCGAGTTCGTTCCATGTCTACTACGTTTTATCACTGATCGAATAAATCGGAAATATCAGCAAATTTACTCGAAAACCGCTACGCGAATCGAGATAATGGCCAATTAAGACGCGATGGATCGTCCGAAAATATATAATCAAAATACAATATTTTACACGCGATTGATTTTCAACGCGCAAAACCCGCGAAATTTGCGCATTATTAACAAAACGGCCGATATATCACGTTACTATTCATTACTTAAATCACTCGGTGCGGCGATCCGTATATTACTTCGCGTTCTCACAATGGCGAACAAATTAGATTTAAATCGGCGAAAAATTTCAAGAGCGCGATATATCCGAATCCAAGAATGTCGTTAAAGAGACAATTACCGTTAATAAACGCTGTAGAACGAAATAAAAATTTATAATTTCCACTCCTTGTCGCTTCGATTTCTACATGAAACGTATTAGCCGAGCGAAATAATCGTGCTTCGATAAGTAGCTACCCTCTCAGTACGCTTACGAGTCGTGTCAATCTCGCGAGAGTTGATTAATATCACGCACACGCACTGATAATCTCCACTTGTTCACACGAAATATAATCGTGTTTCGAAAGGTAATGCGAAGAAGCGTAGAACGTCGTAGTTCACCTACCGACCCCTGTCGACCTGCCGGCATTGTCGCCGGTCGCCGCACGAATGATAATGGAACGCGATCGCGTATCCTACACGCGGTCAAAAGACACGCACCTTCGCCGCGCCGCCAAAACAATAACAAGGCCGCGCGCCGCATTCCTTAGTATGTTTATATTTCGCCGCGCGTTGTATACCTCAATATGTTAATAGTTTATACACTGCCGCCACATTTTAACGAAATATGTAATAATATTAAGAAACACAGTAGTATCTCGCGTTATATTAACGTTATGAGATAAGCATCGGCAAATCGGCAAGTATGTTGAATATATTCTATTCCTCGCGATTTTAAATTGATATCGATGGATTTTGATCGTACATTGTAATGATTATAACATAAATATAAATAATTATAAGTGATCGTTGAGTCGTAATTTATTCACGAATCAAATCATCATGAATTTATCGCCTTTTTGAAAAGAGATTATTAAGAAAATGGCTATTTATCTTTGCTTGTCTACAAGTCGTGATTTATTGTTAAAATGATGATAAAAATAATTATATCATATTTGTATGTATGTATATTAAATTTATTATAAAAAATATAAAAAGCAGAGTAAAAAAAATTTCTTGATATTATGTACATAATATATATATTATTAAGTATATATTTAAAATATATAGATAGTGTTTCGTAATTATATAATATTTTAATAACGTATTTAGAGATTAATGAGAGTCGAGAATTTTAATATGAAAATTTCGAAGACAATAAAGTTTTCTAAAAAGTATAGCATTTAGATTGTCATTAAAGAAAAAGGGTTAAATAATAATAATAATAAATGCGCATAAACAGAGGTAAAAATTGTTATTAATTAATATCAACTGATTACTGTAGCTAGCATCTACGATAAAAGATTAAAAGGGACGTAATCGGTTGACAATAAGCAGAAAAATTAATATCACTTATGCTGTAAAAATCAATAGCAGATAACATATTATACATATTATTGGTTTGAGTGTTTAAATTATATTCGATATCAATTTGTGAACCAATTTTAATCATATTTATAATTCGGATATTATTATGATTTCAATTGTCATATTATAATTTTCGACTTTAATTTCTCCAAAATATACATATATAAAATTAAAATACTGTTATGTGAAACATTTTGTATAGAATACACATAACAAGAGATAATAAATTTAAGGCTAAAAGATAAAACAAATAAAATATAAAATATGACATTGTCTGAAAAAATGGGCTACGTATTTCGCGAGGAATAATCGTATCTATTTTCTGCCAATTTTACGGCACCCCGTATGGCAAAGTACAATGTAATTCCCGCGGTTGTAGCAGATGTTCTCTCTATTCACGTTAAAAATAAAACAATAAACAATCAACGAGATGGAATTCTCTTCGTTAGCCGTGCTGTGTTTTGTAGAAACGTCAGCAGGTAAATTTGGACAAATTTACTCGGAACGCCGCTCGCAGGAAATAAGATCATCTCGCTCTCGGAAAAGAGGAAACGGGACAAGGCAAGAAGGAGGAGCGCCGACGATAAATTAAATCTTGCTTTTAAGAGCATTACTTTACCGGTGGAAACGCTCATTAATGACGATTGTGAGGGGATTCATTCGCCGTAGGATGCATTCCACACACGTCGCGATGTAGTTTGCCAATAGCAATGCGGTAACCTCTCGAAACCGACTGAGGAAATCAATCCGCGTCTCGATCTCACGTAACAAACGAACTGAATTAAACGAACGTGGATCGTATTTACCAGAGCCGAAAGCGCTTTTGATATATTTTCGTGGATATAAGAAAATGATATCGGAATGTAAAAGAATAAATTTATGAAGCGAATAAATCGTACAAAATACCTAGCAAATAATCGGTCTCGAAAAAAATGACGTAGCCAATTTATTCTTGCGTAATTATATCCGTTAGTATCTCTTTTTCACGATTGATATCGCGCGTGATAAAAATACAAATTTGACGAAACGGAAACAAGGGGAATAAGGGTTGCCGATGATGCATCGTCTACCGGAGGCATAATTTTCGCGGAGGCATAATATCGCTCATTGTGAATTGTCGCGCGCAAACTTTACCGTGCTCTTGTACACCCATCGACGACGACGACGATGACGATAATGCGAAACAAAGCGAAGAAAGACAGACGTATTGTCACGGTCGTAGCATTAGTTTTAACGCTCGTTGAATGAGAGCCAGGCCTCGATCACTAAGCGACAATTTATGCATCGGCGTTATCTGCCGGACAAGATAGAGAAACATCTGTGTTCATTAACTCATTCGACGACGACGACAAAATGCTCGCTTTCCAAGGCATACACCCACGATTTACCATTCTGTCCGTCAATTAGTCCCGCCTGTCGTAGACACCGGGACGTCTATCGATAACCCGCGCGCGAGTCGAATAATTCGTCTCGCTGCAATTGACCGCCCCCGGATTATTATATACGGTCGTTATCTACATACACAAAAGAACCTAAGGGGAGAAGATATATTTTGAATTTTCCTTCTCTTCGTTCCTCTCGGATTTGTATGTACGAAGACACGAAGATGCCTCCTCCAAATATAGTCCACTACTAGTGGTTAGTTACGGTTATAAGCATCCAAGAGTTAAAGCTGCGCGACTTGGCGTACGTACTTCGAGATTTATGCGTCTAAAGATGTAGGAAGGAAGAGAAGAAGATCTATATATACGCGTTTAAAGACGTTCGTGCAGCGGAAGCTCCCGGTACCCAAGGAGTCTAAAGAATCTTTCTCGAGTATTCCAATCCCGAAACTCGCGAAGAACGCATTTTATATATAATATTATTATAATCTGCGCATCTTACATATTATAATACGTAACACGCTTCGCATAATTTACACGCTCGCTAAATGGCGAATAATTCAGCTCTCTCTCTCCCTCTCTCTCTCTCTCGTTCTCTCGAAGCCGACAAGAAATCCGGCTTGTGGAGAGATGCAGCGAGTAAATTCACTGTATCCTACACTAGCGGCAAGTGTGATGTGAATTCTCGGTAACGAGAATTCACGAGAATTTCCAACAACTTCGCCCGCGCCGAAGGCTGCGTTGCGATGCGCGAAACTCTTTCGCGTTCCAATCAACGAGCGATTTTACGCGCACCTTAATCGCTTACTTAATTGTTCAACGAATAATTGCGTACGAGCCGTTTCTTCAGCTAAGCACATACAATTTCGAAACATTATAAATTTCAGCGAAGTGCGACTATAAATTGGCGCGGTGTATTCAAGCAAGATTTTCGAGAAACGAGACATATTTAAAATATATCTACAGTAGTGACCAGAAATCTCTACACAGAGATTCAGTGTATTAATGCAGATTACAATGGGATATTAAATGTTTCATGATTATAACGAAAACAATGGTGACTTTTACAGTGACTTAATTATTATTCCTATCTAACATTGTATATTTTTTCTGCCCACTTTCCAAATTAAAAAACAGGCATAGATTTTTATAAATAGCATAGAATTCATTGCAAATTATTTAAGATAAATTTATCTATAATATATTACAATTAATATATTACTATATAATATATTACTCTATAATATATTACAGTATATAGTGCTTTTCTTTATAAAAAAGTTATCAAGATTTATTTAAATTTTGTGTTACAAATAAATTCAATATAAATTGTCAGATCGTTTACGAAATTAATACGTTTTTCAAATGTCAAGATACATGAAGAATACTTTACTGAAATTTTATTTTCATTTAAAGCAGCGAGCAATATCTTTCAAATTGACAAAGCAACGAGTGCGAGTAAATCACGCTCGAGATACTGTAAACAATGAGAGTCTCCCTGTATCACGAAAGGTATAGAAATTGAGCCTCTTACCTTGCAATGGGTGCAGTTGTGGATGACGGAGTACGGCTGGGCGCAATCGTAGCGCGCCAGTACTTCCTCGAACTCGCAATGCAGCCTCGCGGCCAGGGCATCGATGATCAACAGCTTGTCCAGGGTATCGGCGCATTTCTGGCCGCCGTTTAGCACGTCCTCGAGCGGGCCGTCCTTGCCCGGCGCCAGGGCGTTGACCACCGCTTGCTCGCAGCAGTGCCGCAGACGCAGCCTGCTCACGAACCGATATCGATCCTTTCTCAGGGAAAAATTTGGCGTACTCCGACCAGAATCGTCCCTACAGATCTTCCCCTTGTGCGACTCCTCGAGATATAAAAGGCACTGTTCCCGGGCAGTCCGTACGCCCTCCTCCTTCTTTTTCTCCTCGCCGTATCTGTCCTCGACCCCCGTTCTCGTCGTCGTCGTCCTCGCGCTGTTGATTCCCGCTCTCCCCCCGATCATCTCGTTCTCATTCTCGCACGGCATCGGACAGGACTTGGGCACTTCCGGTGGACCGCAGCTACCTTGAAGATCGGCCGGCGCTGGTCCCGCCAGATCGCAGGCCGACAGCCAAGGATTCAATTGGTTCACGTCCCAGTTGTATATTGTTCTGTCGGGAAACCGTGACTGAAGCTCCTTTTCTCGACCCGAATTCTCTCGCTTTTCTTTCCTCTCTTGCTGTTGCTCTTGCTGCTGTTGCTGGTGATGACGATGACGCTCGTTATCGGTATTGTAATCGCTACCCTGAACGTATTGTTGCGGTTGCTGGTGCTGGTGTTGCATGATGACCGTCGACGACAAATACGATACATCCGGCGGCGAGGCGTTCCCTCGCTGCGCGGGATTCTTGATGTGCGCGAGGGTCGGATTCTGCGTGAAGGTCGAGGTAAAGTGACCCGAGGGACTGGTCGAGCACAGCAGGGGCCACGCCAGAAGATATAGCATAAATAGCAGCAGCCTGTAATAACTCCTGCGTGTACGCGGCTTCTCCCCTGTTCCTCCTCCTCTCCTCCTAGTAATTGGCTTTTGGAACCAGGCAGTGTTATCGCTACGTCTCCATCCTTCTCCCTTTCTTCGTCCTTGCCCGTCAAACTCCTCGTCCACTGTCGGGTGCTCGCAATCGTAATTATCGATGCATTCGCAACGACGATCCTCTCTCCCGTCCAACAATGAGGATGGCGATGCCCACTGATGATCATCCTTAGGCACACCACGATTAATTGTATCCACCTCGGCGCGGATGTAGTCCTCGCGAGGCGCGTTTTCTTTCGCGTCTCTGCGTTCTTGTTCGTTACCCGGAACACTAACACGCGCGTCGTTGTCGTCGTCGTTTCCATTTTCGGTATGCTTGTCATGGTCCTCTTCGGGTCCACCGTGAATCCTCTTTCGCTTGTAACGCGTTCGTCCTTCGTCGTCACCGTCGTCGTCGTCATCGTCGTCTCTGTCATCGCTATAGGCAGTGTAAGCAAGCACGTCGACGAAAGAAACAACCGAGGCAGCCACGTCGGGCCTTTCCTCGGGGATCGGTCCTCTCTCCCGTCTTCTCCGTGCCCTTCCTCTTGCTCTTCGAGCGAAACGCGGGGCCCGTCGTTGAGGCGACGGACGGTCGACGCAGAGAATGCGCGTTCGCGCGGGCGGCGCGCCGGCAAAGACGACGCCGACGTCGGCGTCGCCGTCGTAATCATTCTCGTCCTCGTGATCCTCGTGGCAATCGCGCGTGCGTGCGCGCACCACGCCGCGCGAAGCGGAATCACGAGGGACGCGAAAGGCAGTGGCAGTTCCGGCTTCTTCATTATCATCGGGCCCGTCGTGGTGTCGGGCCTCAACGCGATCGCGAATCGATCCGGAAAACGATCTGGTCGACGCGGCGCGAACGAACCGTACGCACTCGACGAGCGAGGCCGACGACGACGACGACGATGACCATAATTGCTGCTGCTCCTTCTTTTCCTCTCTCTTCTTCTCTCTTCTCCGTTTTTTCGACGTGGGTGGTCCCGTGAGTCCAAACGGATCGAGCCGCATGGGCGCGAGGAGATGATCGGGGACGCTAACGTCCCCGACGTCCTGTCGTCGCGCTCCTCCCCGTCGACGCTCCTCGGCGTGCAACGTGCTTCGCCTTCTTCCACCAACGACCGATCTTGTCGCTGCCGCCTCCTGTTTGCCGGTGTCGCGCACGCCGGCCGACGACGACGATGATGATGATGATGGTGACGCGGGCTCGCGGTGGACTCGCGGCGTGGATGATCCGTATTGCGGCCGGGCTGCTGCAGGAGGCCCCGCATCGCTGCCACCAAGGCTGAGGCCCGCCTCTCGGCACGCTCTCTGTTCCCCGATTCTTGACTCCTCGTGCTTCCGGGACGCCGCTCGCGACGCGGCCTGCGACGCTGATGCTACCGTTACTTCCGCTATACCCGCGGAAACACGATTCTCTCGTGCAACGTGACCGATTCCGAGACGACTTTGCTTCCGAGTGTTTCCTCGGAGATATCTCGGAAGAGATATCCTTACGCCACTCGATAATTCGCGCCAAATACTTGTCGTTTTTCTTCTCCACCGCGCAGCGACACGCGTCGACGCCTTCCTGGACGGGTAATCGAGTCTCGGCGTCTCTCCGCTCTCGATCGGAAAAACGCTTCGTTTTTTCTCTCGCCGTTTCTTTTGCCGTTTGCGTTTCTCGTCTCTGCGATAGTGAACGAATTCGCGCCACGGTAACCCGCGTCGTCGTCCCTTTGTCGGCGAGCGTCCGTTCACCGGGGTATTCCCGCTGTTCGATGATGTCAGCCCCGCTCGTGCGTATCCCGGACCAGTTGCCCAGGTACCTGCCTGAGCGGTCCGGGTTGGCGGGGCCCTTAGAAGTTCCCCTGGACCAGCGTACCACGGCCGACCGAGACAGCGATAGTCGCGGCTGCTGCGGTGGTTGCGGCGGCGACGACGACGACACCGGCCGCCGCCGCGAGGAGTTCCCTCGACGGCGACAGCAGCAACGGCAACGCAACGCGCCCGTAGTAATAGTCCACCACCTCCGCTTCCGCCTCTTCTTTCTGCCGCGCCACCTGCACCTTCTCCTGCACCACCACCTCGTGTCGCTCGCCGGCCTCGCGGTCTCTCCTCCCCCTGTTGCTGCTGCTGCTGTCCCCGCTGTGCCAGGTGTTGTGCGCCACTTCCGGGTGAGCGCGACGACGCCGGCGGCGGCGGCAGCTCTCGACGCGCGCGACGACGTTGCGTGTATCGAGGACGACCTGATGCGAAAGCACCTGAACAACACCCGCTTCGTCGTCGTCGTAGTCCCCCTGCCGAGGCTCGCGAGCTCCCAGTGCGGGGCACTGAGGTTCATGCTGCATCCTGAACGCCCGGCTACGTACCCTCCTCCTCCTTCTCTTCCTTCTCCTAGCACCCCCTGCTGCTGCTTGTCGTCGCCGATGATCACGGCCGGTGGCGGCACGACAGCACGCACCACCACGACGATAACGACGACGACGACGACGACAACGACGACGACGACGACGACGACGACGACGACGACGACGACGACGACGACGACGACGACAACGACGACGATGACACGGACAAGGGCGGTAGTCTGTCGAATCGCCGCACCCGAGACCTCATTGACATATCCCGAGGCACTACGCGTCGGTAACAACCGATCCAACAACCCGACGCGAACGTCACCCACGGAGAAGCGAAGTAAAACCCGCGCTCACTCGAACCGAGTCGGGAACATGACAACGGTAAATGAACACACGGCGAGCTTTGGTCACGGCGATGACGTCTCGATGGTTCTTCGGTGGTGCTGAACGAGGGAGGGAGAAAGAGTGAGGTTATGGCGTTTCACCACTCGTACCACCACCGCCACCGCCACCCTCTCTCGCGCTTGCCTACACACCCGAGAGAACGGGAGGACCGATTAACTAACTGCTACAAATGATGAATTCCGCACGCGAATCGAAGATCGCACGCAGGAAGAAGACGACGATATCACGGCGACGACGACAATCGGCAGACACTAACGGGTATCTCGCGACCGCGGCGAAGATGAGGCGTACGAAGGGGCATTATTAAGAGGACGTCGTCATCGTCATCGTAGCGAGGGCCGACGCGACGCTCGCGACGCTGGATGTACGCGCTGGAGGCCACTCCGTGATACTCGGAACCCTGCTGCTGGTACTGCTGATGCTGATGCTGGCACCACCGTCGTCGCATCGGCGCATTGTCACCCCCGTGTGTGCAGCCTTGTCGCGGCGCGCCCGACGATTCCACTCTCGTCTCTCGGCGATAAACGGCGGCACGAGCCGCCAGAAAATAATGCTCCGGACGGATGATCGTAGTAGATGATGCTTGCGATGTAGCGACGACGATGACGGGTCGGAGAATTAATGGCACATTCACTTGTCGTATCGCGTAAGTCCAATGTCCTCGGTGAACACTACGAAGATTTATCCTGCCCGTTGATGTTCCTTCCACCTTGATTCCGTTCTCCTTGTAATAGTTTGCAAAAAGATATCTACCTAACTTTACTCCCTTTTCTTTTTCTATCTCTCTTTATCTCCCTTTAACGCACCTATGATATCATTACACACACGTGCGGCAGCCTGGCACGCGCACGGATAAGGATGAGACAATGTTCCATTTATGCACGCGCAAGCATATTCCTCCTCGTCCCCGCGATCGGCCACGGGATTACCGATCTGTATCGATAATTGATATATTCGTTATTCCTCTCGTCGCGCGCAAACCTTTCGCAGTATCAATTTCTCGCGCTGCCTTTTGACGTCAATGATTTATTATCGTGCACTTGGTATGTAAGAGACGCTCGACGATCGTCGGGCACGATCGCGCGGGTATCGAGTGCGTCGATCGCGGGCGGATGAGGGAAGAGGGAATGAGGGTGAAAGGAGGGGATGTTGTTCGCGCGACACGAACGAGAGCTTCGAGAGGGTTACGGCGAATCCACTCTGTTCGCGCCCCCCCGAACGGGGGAGGATAGACCCGCGTCGGATTGCGCGGCGACACGGATCCGACGTATCCGGATGTTACCCCCCCCGAGATAATAGCAAGTGCTCTTTCTCTTTTTCACCCTCTATCCTATCCCCTATATATCCCTATATCTCGGCTCTAAAGGACGGCGACGGTGACGACGACGGCGGCGGCAGCGGCGACAGCGACGGCAGCTACGACGACGACAACAGTCGTACGTCGAGACGGGCCCCGGCGATGGAAGAAGGGACGACAGGGAGCACAGCGGGTGAGCGCACCAGGCTACTAGTAGAGCACACACACACAACATGTACAACACACCACTCTTGCTTGCTTGCGATCGAGCGCGCGCGCGCACGTATCGATACGACGACGTTACAAAGAAGAAGAGGAAAGAAGAAACACCGCGAGAAGCGCGACCCGCGCCGACATCAGGCACTGCGCGCCAGCTCGTTATCGGCTAGCTCCCGTACTACACGGACGTACCCGAGGATCCCTCTTGGAGAGACTCGCCGCAAAACTTCGGGGGAGAGCGCCCTCGATCTATCTCTCTCTTTCCCGTGTCTCCCCGTGTCGCGCGCGCGCACCACGCATCGTCCGTCTCCCTTCTTTCATCACCCTCCCCTGACCATCCTCTTGGTACCCACTATTTCCGTCCTCCTGCATCCCGTTCTCTGCCCGCATCTCTCTCGCTTGTTTATCTGCTCCTGATATCTCTTTCTCTCTCGTGCACACGCTCAGCATCTCCTTCTTTCCCTCGCCCTATCACTCTCGCCCCCGCGGGAAGAGATTTGCAGGGCGGATTCTTTCTCCTCGCGAAAATTGCGCCACCTGCGTTCTCGTCCTTGCACCCCTCCGATAACGCGATTCCAAAAGAAGGGTACCAACAGGGTACGCTTGACAACGAAGTCTCCCATCGTCGTGATCATCGTCGCAACATCATCTGGCATTCAAGATTTTATATTTCTCGTTTGCGTATTTCAATGACAACCACGACGACAACGACGACGATGGACGTCATTGAGCATGGGTCGCCATCTTCGTTCTCGCGCCGCTCCCCATCCGGGGACGGCGGCTTCGAGCGCTTCCACCCCCCTTCTCCATGCGATTCTTCCCCTTCGCATCCTGCACCCTTCGTCATCCCCTCCGTCCACTCGGCGCTACTCTCCTCGCTCACCCCCTTTCACTCGCCTCTTTCCTATCTTTCTTCATCCCCTCGCCCTTTCTCTCTTTCTCCGACTTCTATCTCCCTCATACCCTAAGAATCGCTAACCCCTTTCACTCCTTTCCCTGTGTTTTCCCCCTCCAATCTACTCTCGGCGCATACGGCGCTACACACGAGATCGCCTCAACTTTTCTACCCTCTCCTTCCCCTAACATCCGAAACCAGCCCCCGCGGAGGGTTCTTCGCCAGCCTCTGTCTTCTTCTCCGTGGTTACCCCCCTTTCCTTCCACCTCCTTCCTTTTCCTCATCTCTTTCGTTGCCTTCCCCTGCTCGCTGCCAACTGGCCGATCCGCCCTCCCAGTGCCGACGAACGCGGTGCTCGCCGAAAAAAAAAAAGAGAGGAGAGAAACCGGCCCAAGTACGATCCTCGACTCTCTTGTGCGCGCGGCGCAGTATGGATTTGTGCTCGTTCCGAGATTCGAGCGACCCGAATATATCGGCGGCGGCGGCCACGGCCGCGCCGCGCGTTATATACGCTTCGACTTCGATCGGCGTCGACGAGGTCGAGAGGCCGAGCCGAACCCGAGAGGGTGAGAGAAAGAGCGAGAGAGAACAAGAGATCGGACCACGCGCAACCTGGGCTGACTTTGCATTTGTCTTGGCTCGACTTCCGATTACGACGACCGGTAGGATGCACCACCTTTCTTCGTGGCATCCTCGAACGATAGAGACTACCTCTTTACGCTCTAGAACTGCTTCTTAGACTACAGAATTCTTGCGGAGGCGCACGCGATAACGCTTATCCGCGAAGAAGCATCGTCGAAATGGCGATGCCCTTAGCATAATTCCATCAAGTATCGCGACTCGCAAAAGAATTTGCGATATTTAATTGCTATGGAATTACAGAAAACGATAGAGGCTATTAGGTATAAAGATCGATCAAGGATTATTGGTTTTCTACATATTTACGCATATATCTCTTAGAATCATACATTTTTATCGTAATATAAAGTGGTCATTTCTGTAAAAAAAGTATTCATAATAATAATAAAAATATTATAATAATAATACATCAAGACACAAAATATTCCTGTTAATAATATGATTGAAGTTTTATTTAGAGCTCTTTGCAACTTTCGATAATTTAACGACTTTATTAACTTTCTTGTTATTGCAAGAATAAAATGATAAGTGTCCTATTCATTATATATTAAGGCAACTTTCTGCAAACATTGATTATGTTAGTTAACTCGGTCTTTCCCACAATGAATAGAGAACATGCATTTCTTTCATTAATTTATTTATATAAATAAATTATTTTAATTTACAGATGCATATAGCGGAATAAATGCAAAAAGATATTGAAACTCTGTCGAGTCTGAATTTGCATTTACAATGTTTCTTGTATCATTAAAAGAAAGCGAAATCAGATTCACGCATACGAGGAACTGTCTTTGCGTGCGCATCCTTTTGCGAAAACAGCTGCTCCATCCGGCTATTTAAAATCCGGACCAGCTGAAAGAAAGAGAGAGATAGAAAGAGAAAACGGGAGAAAAAGTGGTATACTAAAATGTTGCACGAGTCGGGATTTAAACGAAATCCCGTACGCGCTCGCAGTGCCGTCTCTTATTGTCTCTAATCCTTAATAAACCTGCCTAATAATATCAATATTTAATCGCATTTTTTATATATCTCTGATTTCTCAGCTGATTAAATTTGATTAGCGATTAAATGATTAGCAGAAAAACCTCCACGCCGTCAACTAAGAGTTTGGAATCTTATGTGAGTATCTATAATGATCTTTATCTTTTATAACATTTTTCTAAATTAATTATTAAATGTGACTTTAACAAAATCATGTAATATTTTATGGCTCAAAAGAGTAATCTTAAACAATTGTTAACTGTTAATTATTAGATTAAAAAGTTTTAGTTATGATTACACAAACGTATTATAAAATCGCCATTTAACGGTAAATAGAGTGAGAACTCTAAGGCAACTTTTTCATTCTTGGAATTCTTCGGGAAGAGAGAGACAGCGGCTTTAGCAGATAAAAATAAATAATAAATCAATATCAAACATGCATTTAAGAAAAATCTTTTCTACACTCAGCACTAAAGCAACTTTCGAAATAGCATTAAATTCGCTCTTTCGTGCTGCATTAAATTATTGACGAAAGGTATCGTCGTGTATTTAAATAACATTTTCTCCATTATTATGTTTTGTCTCCTAAAAATTATCTTATCTCATTATTATCATATTTATTATTTATTATACACAAGTTTTCCTCGAGCACATCAAGAAAGTACAGAACAACAATATATCAACAAAATCATAAATTATTTATAACAAGGTCACATACACGCGCGAAGAAGCCCTTAAATCCCAGTTGGAATCATCGGTGAACATGTTGCTCGTCACTGCGAGTGTATTCTGGTGTTAATATGCTTAAAACTTTGACTCTCTCAAACCATTTGGCGGAAGGTGCCATCACCCCCGGGGACTACACCCCTGACAGAGAGAGAGAGAGAGAGAGAGAGAGAGAGAAGCAGAGCGCGTTTTCCGCCTCGGGACACCCTGCGCACGCACCGACGTCGAGCCTCCCTTTTTCCGTGCAGTTCTGACATGTACGTGTACACATGTACACACATACGTACACGTGCACGCCGGCGCGCCATCGCATCTTGTCGATGGCCACGTTGCGTGCGCGACCCGTATTCTCAAGGTGGAAATGGAAGTTGCGCATGACCATGAGTGAAGAGAAATTTTCGCGAATCGATAATACGCGACCAGCTGTAGCGACGGGTTAGTCACGCGGACAGCTTGCCCGTCTCGTCTCGTTGCTTGGTCCATCCGCGGACAACCTCCGAAACCACCCCCTTCGACCACCCTTCCTTGGAGCGCCTCTTCCTGACACACAGCTTTCGGCTCCTCGCGAAAGCAGTTGCGACACACATGTACGACACGTCTTCGTCGTCCTTAGATATAAGCGATACATAATCTCGTACATATATATATATATATATATATATATATATATATATATATGTATTATCAGATACATGAAAGTCGTATATCCGCAAGATTTTATGATATTTTAGATGGTAAAGCGGAGTCTCTCTCTGAAAAGATTCTCGAGATCAGTTTCTTTCCTTAATTATTACAATCAACAAATTTAAGAGTATACGAGCTCGCCGTTCCATGGATTAATAAATCTTAAATCGCCAATTTTAACTACGTGATGCGCCCATCATAATGTCCGCTTGCAAAAGTTACCGGTGATATCGCAGAGGAGAAAGAGGGAGGACGACGTGTCGAGAGGACGACGTGATAGAGGAAGGGAGCCCTTGGAGGGTCGCATCGGGATTGCTGTGATAGCGAAGGTGGAGAGGACCATCTTCACTTTCGGTCGTCGGGGGATGATGGGTGGACGAGTAGCTTGGACGTGTAAAACAGCACAGCCGTCTCTTACATACTGTGTACACGTCTTGAGGCGAGGCACAAGAGGCAAGGATGCGAGCGATATTGTACCGTCACGTGCGACCACTCGCCTCGTCGTCCCCGACTGCAAAGTGTTAGCCCCGCTCTTAGTGCTTCTCCCTCGACCGTGGTACTGCCACTCTTCTCCCTCTGCCTACTCCGGCTCATCTTGAAAACCTCGATTGACTTGCTGTTACTTGCGATAATTTTGATTTTTGACAAGTCAATCGTGGAATCCGAGAGATTTTCACGATTTTTTCATCATTTCTCTATTTAGAGATCTTCGAACTTGTAGGACTCTATTTTTAAAGATCCTAGTTTCCACTTCTTTATCTTTGATTTCCAAAGTGATAGATATTTTTTGTACGTGAAACCGTACAGTTGTAGATCTATAGTTTTAGAGAGATCATCTCCGTATTAATTCGCAGTTTTTTGGCGTTTTTACAAAGATCGCTGGCTCGATAAATTTAATAATTTGACAGATATTCTTTTTACAAATTCTACTTGCTGTAATATTTATAAATTTTGAATATCATGTCTATTTTTTAGCTTTGTTCTGCTATTATCGAGATATATCGCTTATCAGCAAGGACAGTAAGTATGCCATGTCTTACGAGACTGAGACCATAGAAAGCATAGACTGTTCTTATTATATTTTTATCGTAAGAAAAAAATGTCCGTTTGAATGAAAAGAACGGAGCTACTTAACGGAGCTCGCTATCCTTCTCTAATGAGCGTAGAGTTGCCTCTTCTACTTTCGATAAAAGAGAAAGAGAAAGACATAATTTATTATATTAAACATCGCTATCTCTTTTGCTAAGTCTTTTGCGAAGTCTTTTGCGATGTCTATGTATGCTCGCTTACGAGCAATCTGTGCTTCCTACGTCTCCCTACTAAGACAAATTATATGTAATACAATAAAAAAATATAAATACATTTCATTTTTATTAATATATAATATCTATCGTTAAACAATAAAAGATAATAGCAAATACTCTCGATTTGCCAATTATAAAAACAAATAAAAATATTTTCCACATACTACTTGTAACGACTCGTTATTTTTTGAGTAACGGTAACGGTAACGAGTTACTTTTATAAAATAACTTTCCCAACCCTGGTACTTATATATAATGAAATCTCTCCGATGCTATTTACAAATCTTTTTACAATCTTGCCGCCTTACACCCTATTCGCAGCTAATTTTTGTTTAAACAACATTATTTTTATTTTTCGAGATTAAATCACGCGCACACATATGAGTATGTATGTGTGTGTGTCTGCTATATAAATAAGCAACAGAATATTGTGTTTGATACAAATCTTCGTGACTTTCTCATAAATAAACTTTCGAGCGAATCTCTATAAAAACGTTATAATAAAATAATTGAGCCATAAATGTTGACGGCGTTGATGTCTCTCCACATTTGATTTAAAAATGTTATACAACTATTTCACATTAGAATCGTAGCAATTTTTGTTTCTATGTTTACGTTGATGACAAATCGGATAAAGAGGCGTTATGTGACAGTAACGAAATTTACATATAATTATCGACAGATCATATTGTGTATACAGCCCATTTTATATAATAAGTACTATATATAGTCTACCTTTTTTATATAAAATAGTATAGTTAGTTCACATACAGTTAATTAGCATATATGTTAAATAACAATATAAATTTTTCATAAAACTTAACATTAAAGATTCAACTTGATGACCAACACGAAAAATCGCATCGTGGGAAACGGGTTTTAGTCTAAAGTCAAAATTTATTTTGTTCATAGTATACTATGTCCTGCATTGAAAGGAATTTATATATTTTTGGTCTCTGTGACTGTTATATGTATCTATTAACAGATAATATTTACAGATCCAATGTTAGAAACGGAGCTGCGCTCATCACTTTACACCTTTACGGTCTTACCAGCGCGTTCGTCGCACTTAACGCCATTAACACCATTAACATAATCACTTATTCATAAGTATATAATAAATCATACTTATATTTTGGTAACCAAATGACGAGAAAAATACGCGAAATAAATTTAATCTCGTGGATCGCAAAAATCAAGTAGGCCATATATATATGTATATAGTTGCTAAATTAATATACAAAATAATGTTATTAAATGATAAATTGAAATTTGCACACGCGCACGCACACAGACACACACATACACACACATGCACGCATGCATACAGCCCAGCACAATCTTACCATATTTCTTGGAAACAACTTTGATTAAGGATCAAAAGAAATAAAGCAAAATAAGGCAACATATAATCTCTCTTAAATGTAAATAACAGATCGTTCATTATACACAAGATTTTATATGTCTCGCATAAATTCAATCTAAAATATATAAAATATTTCCCTCAAAAAAGATTCGCAGTTATATATAAAATATGGAGCTATTGATCCATGATACGTCACTGCGTATGGTACTCGTCGCAAAAGAAAGAAAACGTGATATATTACGTAATTCACCAGATAAATACTAGAAACATTAAGGCAAAAAAATATTTGGCATAAAGCAAAATAGTAATATCATTATTTGAGAAAAGTATGACAGAGTTCGCCTATATTAAAAAATACTACTTTTTTGGATTATCTGTTCTTATTATTCTACGTCGCTTCTACTATAACGCTGTGCACCATATTGTACCAATGTTCTTTCGTAACAAAGGAAAATAAGAAAACCCTTTCCAACGAACTGACGTAACATATAATGATAGTCTCACATAGTTACATCAGGCCATTATGTAATGACGTCGTTTCTGTTCTGCGAACTATTGGCCAACGCCGTCGTATTATGCGAAATTTCGATATGACAATCGGGATTTGACGTCGCGAGATCTGTCACGATCTCGCGTCGCGATGGTGCGGTTTCTACAATAGATGCGGGGAATTCTTCAGCGCCCGCGTACAAACTTACCGTATGTGGATTAGTGCTGCTACCCGAACGTTCTAACTCTTGTCGTTCACCTATAAATCGAAGAAAAATAATAGGTTTTGAGCATATTTCATATAACTGCGTATGCAGAATATGTGTACAATCAGCTAGTGACCTCACCATTTATGCTATGGCTATCGGATACCAGGAAATCACAAGCTGCATTCATTGGCTCACTAGATCCAGGAAAAACATTATCTTCGGTAGTAGCAAACGACTGTTCGGAATCAGAGCTACTATCGCTAGAGTTATTAGTATCCTGCCTAGTTTGTGATCTCCTGGCTCTATTAAAAGGATTCTCCCTCTGTCGCACGAACGTTCCTCCTTGTGTACCTAGAATATTTCTCTTCGAGTTATTCGTAATATAGATGAATTACAACAAGTCTAAATTATTAGATTCCGAAAGAAAAACATCCGCGCGCACCTTGATGACCATCGCGAATGAGAGGCGTTGTGTCATCAGCATCCGAATCACTCTCATCGGTCACAACCTGCTCATCAGCCGCAAAAACCTTCCTTTTGCAAACAGGACAAACCCTTCGATTTTTTGTCAACCATGGGTCAATACATTTTGAATGATAAGCTGAAAAGTTGCGAACATGGGAATAATAATAATTTATTATTTTAATATATTTAAGATAATATTAAAAATTTTGATTAAAAAAATGAAATATCAAGTAGTTCGTTATTGAGAAATATGTACCATGTGCGCATGGTAAAACTCGTAACTTCTCTCCTTCCACATAATCGTCTAAACAAATAGCACATGTCTCGTATGGATCACCCTTTGTATACTTATGTATAGGAATCTTTTTTAAACTAGAACTAGGTAATCTATGCCTGCGTTGTCGCCTTCTATCTTTTATGCATCTAACAATCTGTGCAATATATAAATAATCAGTACTGAAAGCTGAAGCTAAGTAACATATTATATACGAGATTTTGATACATCACATTTGCAACTCACCATAAAAATAACAATGATTAAAAAACATATTCCAACAACAATAGCAAAGGGCAAGAGTAAGTGTGTATTGATATTGAACGGTAGATCATCGTTAATCAATAGAAAATATAACTGGTCGTATAAATAATTTTCTTTTATAATTAATCCTGTAACATCACCAACAAACACAGCCGGTATCAAAATTCCTACAGAGTCCTTTGCTGACATTGGTTCTAGAATCAATTTTTTACAATGTATTTTGTCATTAAAAACACAGGTAACGTTTTACTTTCACAATTATTTAGTATCCATCTAATTTACCTAATTCATTGCTGTTTACATTATGTACAATAACAGCATCGTATCCAGCTTCTTGTGCCATTCGTACTTTTATCTCAAAACTACAGTTGTAACGTCGTATTAAAACTATCCAATTACCATTGTAATCAGTAATATTAGGTGGAGCCTGTATCTTTTGGCATGCACTGGGAGGATTGGCATAAATTGCCATACCCTAATAAAATCATTAAAAAAAATAATTTGTATATATACATATATAAATATAATAGGATTTGTATCATAAAAAAATTAAAGGAATGTACCTTAATTCCTTCCGATGGTATTATACCTCCAAACTTGGCAGGCATATCGCGAAATTCCTCTTCAATTTGATGTCTTGCCACTGCAGAAAATACTAAAATATCTGCGCTACTGTATGTAGCATACAGAATCAAAAAGATAAGCCATGATAGGACTGGGTGGTTTAAACAACACTGTCGCATTTTGAACCAGTTTAAGGATCCACCTTTTCATCAATTTTAGTATTTAATTAAGACTTTTCTTGAACGATTCATTATACAATTGTCAGATCTACTGTGGCAAATACATCCAAAGTAGATAAAAAGTACATTGTAAAAAGTGTAGTCAGCCTATTCTAGAAAGACAAATATATTCCATCTTATTTCTTGAACAATATTCTGTTGCGTAAACTCGAATTAGAGCTTTAATTTCTAATCAATCCTTATGTACTAAATTAAAGATACATGCTCTCAGTTTAATCATACAACAGTGAAACACATTACGCATGATTCATAATATGTACAGAGTATATAGTTAAAATAAACAAACAAGTTTTGAATGATCAATTTTTTATGATTTCAAATGCAAATATAATATCACGACGCATTTTCCAACAACTTTAAGATCTCGAGGCAAAGCATTAATAGCGCGATTCGCGAGCGGCCGTTGTAAAAAATTTATCTTCACGTAACGAAGAAAAAAAAAACACTTTGATCATCCAATTAACGAAACGACGACGTAGTAACACCTGTTGTTGGCTATTTCCTTCTGTGAAATGGCCCCCATAAATGACCTCGGGATGTAGACACGAACCCCCTCGGACAAGAGAATGCCACGATAACACACGCTGTCCGTGTAGTATATTACATCAATTAATGTGCGATGAGTAACGTGACGAGACGCGTGTATGTATTCGTGCAGCGGGTCAACACGACCGATTAGCCGAGCGTTATATCACGACGATGCACGGCTGTTATCAAACGACGCGAATTAGATAGAGTCGCGTAAAATTTTGGGAGCAACTCATTCTTCATTAATAATAAAAACGGGCGATATACATACTTCGAAATTGCTTGCAGCTCTCATTTAGACGCGACCATTAGTCATTGCCGTATCGCGTATGCTCCTCGACACTGGCCATTAACTAACAATAAGATAATACCTCCGATAATTTTCTTTTTGTCTCTCTTTCTTTCTCTCTCGAGTTCTTGGAATCAAAAATATCTGTCTCTCCTGAGGGAATGTTTCCGCACTCTTCGTCGACGAATGCGATCGCTCGACGACAAAGGAGACGAGACGCGCACATTCACGACGAAAATCTCATTATCAGACGTTCGTTTTGAGGTTAAGTATATTGTACTTCCCGATTAATGTTATCAAATGATGAACGCGAACGACGACGATATGACGACAAGCGGGCATCAATAAAAATAGTTTGTTTGCCAGGTCAATGTCAGCTAAAGATCGTAATCACCTGACGGATCAAGCGAGCTGTCAGTCACGACTAATGATACGTGCGTGAAAATGTCTAGAACTGCGTAGGATGCGACCAAGACCAATCGTATTATCGTATACGTGCGTAGGCGAGGCGGATTTGGTATACAGAGCTTTGAATTATAACTAAGATTCCGGATATCAATGACGGAATTTATTAAAGACTGGCAACTCAGGATAAAGTTACGTGACTATCAAATGGATAGTCACAGTGACTCTGGGAATAATATTCTATAGATCAACGGTTGCAAAATGTCACTTATATAATAAATAATACACATATATATAGGCTCGAGTTTTTATCATATAAGAAAAATGTGGATCTTTAATACACATATAATATATTAAATAATTATAATAATAATGTAAAATATTATTTGTCAAAGACAAATTATAAAAAGTAAATTAAAATCTATCATGTGATTGGAATCAAAATATTATCTCTAGATATTAAGATAAAAAAGTAATTAGTTTCTGGCATGAAAATTTCTTTACACTCTGTTTTTATTAAGTCAGACAAAATTATTCTAATGGCGACTCATAAAGAATATGCTGTTCAGTGACGAGAATGCGAAAAGTAATATTGTAAAACGGTGACATACCTGGCAATGTACATACCTCATTGTGCATTGCACTTTCGTTGCATTTCTGCGGGAAAACGATGGCGCGAAGGAGATCCGAGGAGAGGAGACCGGACACACACACAAAAGCGGATCGACGACACTGAAAATCGCGATAATTTTTTGCGAGAGAATCCGAGAAACACGAAGCGAGTCGCGGACGCGATTTTGCCGCGGCGCGATTGACCGTTGACCATTTTAAACTGTCAGCCATCTTGATATTGCGATTCTCGAAGTATCGAAGAAAGCGCGTACTTCACTGAAATCATTTTTTTCATCTACAAATTATTTCATTATTTCTCTTATCCTTTGTTAACAAATTATTTTAATCGAACAGAAAAATAAGAAAATAATTGTTCTCAATAATTTAATTATAGAAGGACGGATACACATGAGGTCACTAAAATATGAATAATATGAATATAATATATTGATAATATAAATAATATTTATGATTCATAATTACTATGAATAATGTGTTTAAGCTCCGAGATATCCATAAATTCATGTATTAAGATATTGTGATAACTCTATGTATACATATCTGAAAATATACACACCTGATTGAGCACTAGACACTTTCGCTGCATTCCAACGAGAAAACGATGGCGCGAAGTTCCCGAGGAAAGAATTTCAGATTACGAGTACGCGGACGCGGATTATCGATATTGAAATCGTAACATTAATATATAATATATACGTGTTTAATATGAGAGACAACGGCGATAAATTTTCGCGAGGAAATTCACTTTTAAACGGTAATAATCGCGAGAAACACGGAGCACGTCCGACGCGTGTCTACGGTTTGCTGCGACGCGTTCACGTCTTGAAACTGTCGACTTCGATATTTCGAGAATCGCAATATCGAAGTGGTTCAAAATACATAATTAAATACATAATTTTATATATTTTTATATATAAACGATAATAATAAATAAATAATTTAAACACTATTTTTATAACTTAGATAATTTATAGCTAAATCAGCTGTTATTTATATTAGCTATGTTATTTATATCATTAATGTGAATATTGGTTAATATTTTTTATAAATATATAAAACATTAAAGTAAAGCCTAGAGACAATTTTAATCAACATATTTATTTTTATGTATAGAAATTCATAAATTCACGGAGAATTTCAGCGAGATAATAAACAATTATTGAAGTATATATCGCTAAATCTGGTAATATATCGCACAATACCATTTCTCTTGTGATATGATAGAAAAGTGCAATGACAAATCCACAGATTAGTACGCTAGCAAAGTTTCACTTCTGGATACCGAGTGTTTCTATTCTTTTCTCAACTTTAAAAGGTATGTTAATTATTTTGTCAATTAATAATATTAATTGGAATAAAAGAAATACGTACACATTAGTTTCAGGCTTCCGAAAATGTAAAACTGCCATTGAGTACATGAATTATAGTTGTAATATATGTGTTTCATTTATACACATATACATTTCAAAGTGCATGCAAATTAAACACACGCACGCAACATAGTTCTTCATATTTGCTATAATATGTATTACGAGATTACATATCAGCAGTGCTAAGTATCACACTATTTTGTACTGTCTCACTTATAGAAAATACATGTGACAAACAGATACAACGAGAGCGACGTATCTATCTAAACACGCGCAAAAATTCGCTGTACAATCGTTGTTATTGCTACATAAGTTACTCTCGTATTATTCTCCCATGATTCCTCACAAGAACAATACTATATACAAAATACAGACATATAGTGAATGCTATTTATAAAAGATATCCAATTGTAATTTACACGTTTTATCGTATTGCATTACGAAATATAATTCGCAAAAAAGATCACGAGATTCCAAAATTTTTAATAAAATAATAGTTCGATTAATAACCTAATACGTAATTAAAATCTATTTTCTGATATATTCGTTTCAAAAAGATTGTAAACGCAATAAGCGTATTTCATGAAATTAAAATCAAAATTGAAATCAAATTTAGGCAAAGTTAATCTACTTGGATATTTATTCTAAAATATAAAAGATCATGATACGAAAATACGAATATAATAATTAGGCTAAAGTGCACATTCTGCTAAAACACTTCCATAAAATTGGTCAATAAAGATGTTAAGAACTCTCTACTAATTCAAGGCACCGATCTGTAACAACACTCAACATCTGTCAATTTCTGAAAATGTACTTAATACAGAATCTAATTTCGTTAGCAGCAATTATTTACAATTATCATAATTTTATATCCTTTGACGTGATAATTTAAACATTAGATTTGTCCATGTGAAAATCTATCGTCCAGCAACTGTGCCTTCATCAGAATAGTTTTCTTTTGCGCTTGATCAAATCGATTAACTTGCAAATCAATATCTCTATCAAATGGCCTTCTCATTGATATTCCAGTTCGTTTTGCCTCTTTTTCTTCTTTCTAAAAAATAATATACATATCTCTAATAACACTATTATAGCAAATTTAGGTAAACAAATATATAAGAAGTATTGATTTGATAATTAAATATATCGCATAATTTGAAAAATAACTAAAAAAAAACCAAATTACCTTCTTTTTCTTCGCAATTTTCCTTTGATGTATTTCTAATAGCGATTTCTCAGGCTTTCTTTCTTCATTCACTTCTTTCTTGTGAAATTCTTTCACATGTTCCGTATCTGATTCTTTGAGTTTCTTTATTTCCTGAAAAAATGAAATGAACTGAACATCAGTATACACAAAATATATAAAGGGATTAATAGTAAATTCGGTTGAATATACTAGTGTGCACTAGTACACTTTAAAACTTATTGTATACAAATTTACAATATATATAAGCATAAGTATAATTAATACATTAAGATAATTATTGTATAATAGCATGAGTTATTATTATTTGTATTTAACAACAATAATAATAGTTCTCTTAATATTAATTATTTTACTTGTTTAATTACTTATGACTTATGCCATTGTAAATTTGTACGATAACCTTTATATATACGTACCAGTGCATACTAACATCAAATTCGCTATAAAATTCCTAATAATAACACAAATAGAATGCAGACATTTTTCAGTTTAGAAAATAAAGAACAGCGCGTTATTTTATATTTACCGAGTCTTTCTGTTTCTGAGCTTTTTGTGCAGGGGTGTCAGTCCAACATGATCTATCTGACATATCTGGCCCATCTCGAAGTCTGAATTTACGCGGACCCAATCCAAGATTAGCAGCTTGCGCTGGTGGTAACTCGGTCATCCATTCCTCGCGTTTATTTCCAAGGTCAGCCTAAAATACGAATACGTGCTTCTTTTCTCGTCGATAAAATTGTTAATCTTTAATGTTTAAGTAACTCGTATTACCTCTGTCAAATATCCTTCGTGCCTAATCCTTTGCGCTCTCAAATCTAACTGTTCGTGTACGCGGCTATTTCTCAGAGCTGGATGATCAATAGGCAGAGGACCTATCGTACAATCATCGTCAGATGACTCGGTCGAAGCTTCTTTATGCGATTTCACAGTATCGGGTAGTATAGGTCCAATAATTTTATCTCGCGAATCATTTTCGTTTTGTTGCCGTTGTAACAAATGTGGTGGCAGTGCTGGTCCAAAAATGGTGTCCACTTCCATCGCAAGTGTAATAGCGTTTTCTGTATCTTCTCGCTTTCCGTTTTGACGATCATTGTTTAATCGAGGTGGCAAACAGGGTCCGATCAAACTCACGCTCTTGCCATTGTCATCGATTTTATTTTCATTGAGACTACTCGACAAAGTCTTTTCAAGTTTATCACCGTCGGTGACGTCGGTGTTAGATGCGGATCTTGATGGCAAAAATGGACCGTACACAGATTCAGTTTCTTCCTTATCTTTTTCCAACAGTCGCGTTTCCTCGAAAGAATCGAGACATCGCGAATATTTCTCTTCCAAATTCGAGCATTCGCCACTATCAGAATTAATCATTCTCGTCTCTTCATAATGCTCACAAGCCTTTTTTCTCACAGAATCCATAACAGTTTCTTTCGTTACCAAGAAAGTCGCGGACGATGCGGAACCGAGTAAGGAATCTGAAACGGCACTAGGATTATTATTAGTGGAACCAGATGTCAAGTCGTAGTTCCTTCTTTTTACCTTTAATTGTTCCCGCCGTTTTTCTTCACTCGCTTCATCGTCGTCGTTTTTTCGTTTCGTTCTCGCGCGATTTTCGGACCGATCTTCGGAATCGTGCCTTTTCAATTTAATCTTACGTGGACACGGAGATGACATTCGACTTCCTGAATCCCGACCATCGGATATATTCTCGCCAGTCTCCGACAGAACGTCGAACTGCGACAGATCCAAGTCCTTGCAGTCTTGAATCTCTATTGATGAATCCTCTTTAGTGTTCTCACTTGAATGAGCCTCGCCGTAACTACGCTCCCGTTCAACATTCTTAGGACAATCTCTCGAATTTTGCAATCTATTTTCTTTTACCGATGTTTTCTTATAGGTATCGTGTCTTCCCTGATCCTCTCGAGATCGGTAATCGCCGTTCGAGGATTTGATCAGTCTACTCGATTGATGGGATCTATCCCGACTCCTATCGCGAGAATGATGCTTGTGCCTTTCGTGATACCGACTTCTGTGTTTGTCACTGGACGCTCGTTCATTGTAATGGTTCC